TAATGAAACGAGCTGACTCTTGATGGATCATCATCTGTCAATTTTGACTTCTTTCAGCGACATGTCACTCAGCAGTAGGGGAGCACCTACACATGTGGCCAATGGCTGTGTTAAAAGCTGAGAATAATGCTTTGACACGACCAGCACCTCCTTCCCAGAATTCGCAGTCAGGCTGGGCTGCTGGTGTGCTCTAGCGGTGAGCTCTGGGATTGCTTCTCTTAACAGCTTTGAAGGAGTTGTGGTCTCTGCCTCTGTCAAAGGAGTTGTGGTTGTTGGTACCGACACCAAGTCCAAATGCTGAAATCATGAGCAAGGTCTCGGTTATGTGTGTGCGTCCCTGGGATGGTTGTGACACTCTGCAATGCACAGTTGCAGCCTCGAGGTAGTGATCCTCCAGAGCTCCGTCCTCGGTTGCGGTCTGGGTAGACTGGGTGGCAGCAGTGAGCTGGTGGTCAGTTGGTCCAAAGGTAGCTATGAGCTTATTGCTCCACTTCGCCCAGGACTTCTGCCACATGCCTTCGTATAAATGCCATGCCACGGCACCATTTAGAAGAGGGTCTATGGCTATGGACCATCTCTGAGGCTTCATCCTGGCCTCACGCACTGCTAGAGCTTTGACAATTGCCACCCAGCTGTCTATGTTGTCCTGGAACTCGTGGATTTTCAGTAGTTCGCAGACGGCCGGTGATGGTGGGGTGGCAGGTGACAATGCAGAGATCATCAACGCAAAGCAGCCCAGTTGGTGTGATAGCTGCATAAGAGATGACTGAAAGCTCTCTGCGTCGCTCGTCTGGGCTGACCGCAAGGTTGTGCGAGGGGGCTACATCCAACACTGCGTTAAGGGCGCATAATGCTGGCAACATTGTAGTAGCTTGCTGAAAGATCGATACTGTCAGTTCGTAGTCTCGACGCGGAGTAGTGCGATAGTACGCCACAGGTCCAAGCGCTGTCAGGTGTGAAGCCCCTAGAGTCGGGAATTGCCATCATCGAGTGAGTAATAGTTGAAGCACTCACGCCGGTAAGATTGATGAGCTGGGAAGCCTAAACGGCGTTCTTTGGCAGCTCGTATGTGGGAAGTACTAGCTACGGAATGTAGGCCATGGAAAGCCAACATTTTATATATACTAGAGCTGTGTGAATAGCAAAATTTTAGGTGTGAAGTGAATTCGAATATTGAAGTGTGAGTACGAATCGAATATTCATAGAATTCTCAAATATTTTGAAATACTCCAAAGCGAAATTGCAGAAAAAAAAAAAAACTGGAGAGGGTGTCTAAGCTGATTCTTGAGATGGCAACATGAGATCGTTTCTATGGGCCAGTTTGCAGCGCTGGTAGGGTAGAGTTTTATACTTGTCTTATGTTACGATTTATCTTGGGAGTGCTTGCAAAGTGTTGGATTGAGAGAGAGATGCGAGTCAGCGGTAACACGGCAAACAAATTTTAATACTGCACAAAATGGCAAACAATCTGACACTCAAAATTAACCCCCAAAAAGAAACATGTACACAATAATCGGCTATACAAAGAAACCGGAACTAGTATCAATCCGAGTCAAGTTCAGACCTAAGCCTAATCTTACTCTAGCCTAAATGGCTTCTCGGTAGCTACGCTCGTTCTACAGTGGCTTGAGTAGGAAAGTGTGATGAGCAGCAAGCAGCGCCTAGGAAGTGCATTAAAGCCTCTGACGAGAACAGTGCTTGTCTCGTCCCTTTCTTGTCTTTCGTGCATTTTTCGCGCTGCTAAAACCCAAGTCTGACGAGAAGCTGCGTAAAGGCGCGCACAGTTATTTACACATTGTTTGCAAGTTTCCGACACTTTTCGTCGAACACGTTCGTCCTCGTTGTTTTTTAAAATCGGGGTGGCACTCTGACATCAATGCTTCTGTATGCACTCTCATAGCACGAAAACAAAGTCATTGCTTCATCCCGGGGTACAACGGGCTACAAGTCAGCTAAAAAAAAGCATGCGTTGTTCGGCGATTTATAGGACGAAGCTCTGTTTGCGCAGTAGCGGAAAGCGATCTCGCGCGCTGAAAAAATCAGCTGCTTCAAGAAAACTCGGCTGTGTTCAAGCTGCGCTTCGACGAAAGGTACATCTTCCGGCACTTCGAGCACACTGTGAATGGTGAAATTGTCCGCATTGATAGGGGTAAGCCCATAGGCATTCTTGCTGTTCGGGGGGGGGGGGGGGGGGGGGGTCATTGCAGGGCGCCTCCTCCCTATTAAATCAGTGCATGAAGCAGATTTTTCACCCCCCTTTTATATGACTCTGAAAGAGTGCTCCGCCACCTCGTCAAAATAAAGAGAAGATTTAGCGCCAACCTTTCAGGTACTAGGAGGGTCGCCCGCCCCCTTTGCCCATCTCGACCGGGCGCCATGGGTGGGCCTTTCGGAGAAGCTCTTGGCATTTGTAGACGCCCTTTTCAAAGTGCTTTAGCTACAACGAGCTTCACAGTGACAGCTTAAAAGAGCTTGTTTTCTGCTTGAAAAAAAAAAAAAATGTCACTCTGGATTGCGCATTACATGGTCTGAGCCTCACCAATCAAGTGACCAAGTTTTTTCTGCTCATCCATTTGCATTTTTACACAAAGACACTCCACAAGGAACGAGCATCTTCCTGTGAAAAAAGGAAGTACCTGAACCTCAGGCGCGTCACTTAGGCTTGCAGTCCAATGTTCAGTGGGGCGCTTGTGAATTATCAAACTTTTTTTATTAGGGATAAGAAGGCACGTGACCAATTATTAAAAATGCATTGTTATAAACAGATAGTGGTCACTACTTGGAAGTGCATTGTATGACCTGCGTGCAGAAAATAAAAGTTTTTTTTTCTAGATACCGCTCTTGATTCTCCTCTCTGAGTATGACGTTTTGAGTGATGGGGCTTTATTTACAGATTAGTGCTTGAGGAAATGATGGTTCTCTGTGGAAGGTATTGAAAGCAATGGCTCACATAGATGATGTGTTTCAGTGCCGTCACGTGCTCACTTTCGGCACCCTGTCAATATTTCAGTTCAGTCGCGCACCCGCGTAGGCATCCTGTTTTCTAGAACCTAATTAACATATTTTCTCGGTCACCATTTGAGGCCATGCACGAGCAACAAGATATATTTTAAATGTTTCACATTACCTGCGCGCATGGTTGATTCCAGTCTCTGCGCAGCGCATCGCCGCCTTAGTGACGTGCAAACCTGTGCCTGCGTCACCTGGTGGTTTCCTCCCAAGGGGTATCCGCTAGCCGCCGCGTTCATCACACTTCCATATTCTAGCAACTGTAGCTCATGCGATCCCGCAATAGTAGAACATTCGTACTGTTCTGATGCCACCCTCAGAACTACAACTAAGTGGTACCATCGTCGAAGTCGTCCTGAAAGACGTCGTTGAACAAGCTGATCATCTTCGCTGCCAGTGTCTCCTGGTCTTATTCGTCATCTACAGCCCACTTGATTAAACCCATCTCGTCCATGGCCTCATTAATGACGTACTCCGATTACTGGTGTGGGCTGCTACCATCCCGGTGCAAAGTTAGACAGCTGCAAATCCAGCAGGAACTCCTGGTCAAGGGTGCGGCAAGTCCGGGCAGCCTCACTCTGGAAAACCTTCAAGGTCGATGGCCACTTCTCGGGCCTCTCACGCCGACATCCTTCAGAACCGAGCGGCTATGCTACTTCTGTCGTAGTAGCGACTTTGGGTAAATCCAATGTCTTCGCAGCTCGGAGCCCCATAGCACAACGACAGCTCATCCTCTGGGACTTCCCATTACGGCTCAGGTCGCGTGCCACGAGCCTTTCTCCAACCAATCTCGTACGTGAATGTGGCGCGTCAGTGCAACATCGGGGGTCTGGTGCATGGACACAGCATTCCAGCGTCTGGCATGTGCCTCGTGTCCTCTTACTCATGAAATCTTATCAAGAATGAGGCAATGCAGAGGCTTAACTCTATTAGTAGTACATGCTTTGGTGCAACCAAAGTGTTACTGACAACCCTTTCCACGTGAAAGGCAAAGATTCTACTTCCTCAGCCTCTCCTTTTCTTTCAACTTCTGTGGAAGAAGCCCAACAAATTTGGCATACAAAGTTGTGCTCTCTCTGTCATAGTGAGAAGTGTCGAATCTGCCTCGTTGACATCAACATACAAAAACTTCATTTTATATTTCAGATTATAAAAATCTCTGGCGTTCGATTTGGCTGACTTCCTGCCCAAATTTCAAGTCCAAAACAGCTTTAATGAACCCCCACCTCTGCCCCATCTATAATCTTTATGTTGAAACCATTATTTTCTTGAGTGAATACATTTGCGACCGTAGCTGAACCTGAAAGGCAGCTTTGTTGCAATGGAGTAAGGCATATTGAAAATTTGAAGGGGTCACTGCCAATTGGATGGTGCCGGTATTTGTCATCGGGAAGTTTCAGTGTGATTTGGGTCGAACAGTGAAAAATATTCAAAATTTTAAATATTCACGTACCCTGAGAATCTAGGCAAGCTGCACAGCCATAATTATGTTCATATAATCACGATCATCATCATCTTGTATATACAGAAATCTGTCCCGTGTCATTCCTCATTTCAGTCTGTCCTATAGTTTGCTATGGTGAGAGGGCATTGTCTGCTTGGTTACATGGGCCGTCCACTGCAATTACTATGGCCCTTTACAGTAATTTCATGACTCTATGGCTACTTCTGCGCAGTTTTCTTTCCTTCATGTGTTTTCACTATCATTACTCCCTCTTTTTTTGTCTGTATTGTCACTCTGAGTGTTTCATAATTTATACTGTACAGCCCTTTTCCTTTCTTTCGACTTTGTTGTCACACTTTTTTGTGTCTGCTTTTGTTTCAACTCCCCCAATATGCCCATTAGGGCACCTGAAATCATATTCTTTTAGATAAACGAAAAAGTGTTTTGAACTTAGTATGGATGGCTGTGCAATGCGGAATGCAAGGAGGCATCCCGGCCTGTACGAAGCGACCCCTTACCTCACGTTCTGTCGTGCTCTTTGTGGCAGGTGGGAAGTTGTTGCGGCCTTTCTCAACCAGCATGGAGCCGCGTCTGATCGCACAGCAAAGGAGGTGCTCGGCAAGGCCAAGAGCTTGCAGAAATTGGGTGTGTAGGCTTTGCACTTATGCTAGGTCATGAGTTTCCTGGAGATTTTATTCTATTTTACAAATTGCTTACTAAAATTGCATCACGAATATTTCAGTATCTTTTCAACTGTGCAAATTATAATCTCAGAGTTAAAAGTAACAATATCAATTGTACTCTTTTCTTCTTCTGTGTGTTTTCCCTGAAATAGCAGCCATTTTTTTACAAGCTGCAGATTTTCAAAGTTTACCAGAACTGATGCATGTGAAATTCACAATCATAATGTATAGTCATGCTCAGTGTGAGTTGCAACACGCTGTCTGGGCTTGAAATAGTGGTAACACTGCAAATCGGCCCCTACATAGAAAAGAACTGGTGAATTAAGCAGTACTTTCTGAACCAATTTGTCGGTGTTCAGGCTTGGGGGCGCTTTGACAACAGCCAGCATGTTGCAAGTCATATTGAGCATGACTGTGCTTCATATCCTTGGAATCTGCAGTATTTTAGGCAGCTGGTTATGCCTGATATACTGTTATATTTGCATGCTACAGCATGCGTGAATTGTTAACAGAAAATTGAAGATGCTTTGAGTTCCCACCAATAAAGGGGAGATGTGAGTCGAAAAATGCATGTTTATCCCAAGATTACATATTTTTCTATTCATTTGCGTTTGCTAGTTTAGCTTGTCTACTTACACGACAAAAATCTAAAGATTGTAATTCAATCCATAGTAGGTTAAAATCCTTTTTAAAGAGCACAAGGTTGCTACTGGAAAACCAAAAATAAGTCATTTTTTAGAACCCCTGGAAAACTTTCGCCTTTCTGCTTGCCATTACATTTCATATGGCGAGTTTCCTAGAGCCACGTGTGAAAAATAACTGTGATTGCCAAGCTTTCATGATAGAAAAAATAATTTTCTTCTATCAGAAACATATCTTTATCTTATAGATGAGCCTTCATTTATACAGTCGATCCGGTATATATCAAACTCGGATATATCAAATTATTGGCTATATCGAATAGTTGAAAAATCTCCTTTAATTTTCTATGCAAATGCATGGGACCGGTGTCCCTGTATATGGAACTCCCACACAGCAGGACATCTGCTATATAAAACGATGCGCCGCGCCAAAGCCCAGAAAGTGCATTTTTTCTAGAAAATATGGATCAATTTTTGGCCGTGTTCTAACAAGTTCCGATCCTTTTTCGGGCGCAGGTGACAGAAAAACATTGTTCTTCTATCGCGCTGATCTGGTTCGTTGCGCGGCACTTGCAAAACCTCCACGTTTGATGCATGATCCGCATGTCTTAGCACGTTGGCATAGTGTTTTCCAAAAGACCACAAGGGCACCAAAAAGAACATGCGAAGTGGCTCGGTGATCTCATTGCAGTGTTCGCATTCCCTTCCTTCTTTGTCAGTGCACATTGGCATGTGAGCCTAAAAAGCTAGGCAGTTAATTTCCTCCTTCTCAACTAGCTTCTACAGTAGCTAAGGAGGAATGATGTTTGAGGTTCGGTATGGGTCCCTTTGATGACTTGAGTGCATGGTGGCAGCGCGAAGAAAGAGCCGTAGTCCAGTGAAGAGACGCTTTATTGCAGCTGTGACGTCATCCTGCTGCATTCCGTGGCCGCCTGCTCCAGAGACAAGCGCCAAGACACGCGCTATCTTGGTTTCCTTTATCCGGTTATCACGGGAGTCATGTGATCATTCTGACTGTATATATTTCACGACGAAACATTAAAGGGGGCTTTTTTTCTTGGTCACGATGTAACGAGCGTCTTTCGATCACTCTGACGAGCTTGACATGGTGTCAGAAGTGGTTCCGATGTAGCCAACTAGCGCTTCAACGGCCCCGTCAACAAGCGAGCGACTGGCAGCTGCGTCTACAAGAACAAGCCGTATCGGCGACAACGCTTCAGAATGGCGGGAATCAAGCCTCCTAAGCTCTTCGACTTCCAGAACGCAGCGGACTGGCCCGCCTGGATGGACGAATTTGACGACTACAGATTCGCGTCTGTGCTACATGAGAAAAAGGACGAAGTTCAAGTAAGGACTCTTCTCTATACTGTGGGCAGAAAGTCGAGGGACATTCTTCGGTCGCTAAACCTAAAAGACGAAGAAATGGAGGACTTCAAGCTTGTAAAGTCTAAATTTAACGACTCCTTTGTCCACACCAAGAACATAGTCTACGAAAGTGCTCGTTTTAATCTACGTCGCCAACAACTGGGAGAAACAGTAGACCAGTTTTCAACCGAGCTTAGCAAGTTAGCCGACAGACGAGAGTTCGCAGGCATGAAGGAACGCCTAATAAGAGACCGCTTCGTAGTAGGACTACGGGACCAGGTTCTTTAGGAAGAACTGCAGATGGACCCCAAGCTAACGATGGCCACTGCTTTGGCAAAAGCGCGTACGAGCGAAACTGTAAAGCAACAGCAAGCAGAACTAAAAGAGCATGAGGGCACAGTCGCAGAAGCTTGCGTCGCCGCAGTAAAGCCCAAGAAAGCCGCTGCAAAGAGCACGTTTACTCGCTGTCAGAAGCCCGCTTATCATCAAAATAACTGCAGTTATTGTGCCGGACCATTTCACTTGCGAAACAAGTGTCCAGCGCAAAAAGAAATGTGCAGATTTTGCCAGAAGTTGGGCCACTATGAAAAGGCGTGCCGAACAAAGAAGCATAGAGACACAAATCTCGATAGCATCGCCGAAGCTGATGGCAAGTTTATAGGCACGGTCGAGCACTGTGCGAACGCACAATCTGAGAATTTCGTGACGGTAAAGATAAACGACCAGACGCTCCGCATGAAAGTAGATACGGGAGCCGAAGTGACAGTCGTCGATGAAAATTATCCTCTTCTTCCGTCTTCTCTGGAAAACGCAGCCGATCTTAAAGGACCTAGCAATACTAGCATCCGTACAATCGGAAAGTTTGACGCTAAAATATCTTGGAAAGACAGCTGTTCACAACAAACCATTTACGTCGTGCAGAACTTGCGCATGCCCTTGTTGGGACTACCAGCCATAAAAGCTCTGGGAATTGTTCGCTTCCTACATGAATTAGACACTGCTGACAATATCGGAAGCAAGTATCCCAAGATATTCTAAGGCACGGGTACCATATCGGGAGAACACACCATACGCCTTGTGCCACATGCAATCCCGTACAGTCTGTCTACACCGCGACGGGTTCCTATTCCCATGAAAGAAAAAGTAAAAGAACTGGACAGGCTAGAACGAGAAGGAATGGTACAGAAGGTCGAAGAACCGACAGAATGGTGCGCGCCTATCGTTCCTGTAATAAAGCCGTCTGGAGCAGTGAGGATCTGCATTGACTTAACTCAATTGAACCAGTTCGTCAGACGAGAGCGTCATCAACTGCCAACAATTGAGCAAGTTATGGGAAGCTTCCAGGAAGCCAAAGTCTTCTCTAAACTAGACGCGCATTTTGGTTTCTACGAGATTAGGCTTTCCGAGGAATGTCAAAAGCTCACGACGTTCATTACACTGTACGGGCGGTACTGCTACTGCAGGTTGCCGTTCGGGATTACATCCGCACCTGAAATTTTTCAAAGAAAGTTTTCGCAAGTTCTAGAAGGCCTAGACGGCGTACTGAACTACATGGATGACATTCTGGTGTACGGCAAGAACCAAGTGGAACACGACAAGCGGCTTTGTAACGTCCTCAAACGACTTCAACAAGCAGGCGTAACTCTCAACAGGGAAAAGTGTTGTTTCTCAGTTAAACTGGTCGCATTCTTGGGGATGATCTTCGATGCCGACGGCGTGCATCTAGACCCCGAGAAAGTTAGAGCAATCAAGCAATTGCCCAGACCCCAAAACGTTGCTGAGGTTCGATCCTTGTTAGGTATGATGAACCATCTCGCAAGGTTTTTACCTGATGCAGCTTCAATGTCTGCTCCTTTACGCAGCCTCCTCAACAAGGACAGCGACTGGTTTTGTGGACCTCAACAAGAGACAGCTTTTGAGAAGATCAAGACCACTCTCAGCTCAGACAGATGCCTGGTGAGGTACAACCCCCGGTACTCGACAATTGTATCGGCAAACGCGTCTTCACTAGGGGTTGGCGCAGTACCTCTCCAGGATCAGTCATCTGGTGAGAGACGTCCTGTTGCATATGCCTTCAGATCGCTCACAAAAACAGAGCAGAGGTATTCACAGATCGACAAAGAAGCATTAGCTTTAACTTGGGCTGCGGAACGCTTCGACGAATTCCTAAGAGGCCTCACGTTCCTATTTGAGACAGATCACAAGCCTATCTTCCCGCTACTGGGTCGAGATCCTCTTGATTCTCTACCGCCAAGAATTCAAAGGTTCAGAATGCGTCTTATGCGGTACTCGTTCACGCTAACACACGTCCCGGGGAAAAGCATTGCTACGGCGGACACACTTTCTCGCGCGAGAGTGATGAACACTGCGCTTACGGTCGGAGAGTTGTCTGAAGCAGACGTTTCGGCTCACGTGGAGGGAGTCATTCAGTATGCGTTCTCTGATGACATGCTCGAACGCATACGCTCAGAGCAAGCAAATGACCTTGAATGTGCGTCGTTGCTCGAAGCTTGTATGCAAGGTTGGCCCGCTAAGGACTACACACCACAACTTCTCAAGCCATTCTGGGCGCATCGTGGTAACATCACGGTATGCAAGCAGTTGGTTTTGAAGGACTCAAGGCTGGTGATTGCACGAGCGCTGGGGAAAGAAATGCTTCGGAGGGTTCACGAGGGACACCAGGGAATTGCACGCTGCCGCGCGAGCGCTAAAGAATCTCTCTGGTGGCCAGGAATTGGCAAAGACATTGCATAAACCGTGGCCAACTGCCAAGCATGCGCCACAGAGCGTACCCAATTTTCCGAACCAATGATTCCATCGGAAACAACCGAGCTGCTATGGCAGAAAATCGGAATTGATTTATTTGAGATGAAAGGAACTGTCTATCTTGCCGTTGTTGATGATCACTCCAGGTATCCTGAGATGGCCCTGCTGGATTGAGGAACGTCGTCGAAAG